CCTCGCTGGGATCTGCCCTGTGGAACTGGGGGGGTGAGCTGAGGCGGTGTCTGGCTCCCTCCTGGCAGCAGAGGATGCCCATGGAGAAGCCAGCCCAGTGCAATGTGCAGCTTCTAGAGCACCAGGGAGCGGCGCGGCGCAGCAGTGCCATCAGCTATCCCAGAGACCTGGGAGAGTCGGTCCAGGGAGCCATCACCCGAGTTAGTGGGAGAGAGCGGAGGGGGAGAGCGGCTGGCAGCATGACACGAGGTGGGAGGGTGGCCTGTCCTGCCGTGCCCCTCTCGGAGAGCCCGCCGTTTCTCCCCAGCTGATGATGTTCCTCCCAGGAGCTCCAAGGTCAGTTGGGCTTTCAGGAACTTGTGGGGCGATTTACTCTTTGGGTGCCACAGGAAGGGAAAGTTGTCACTAGAACAATTTGCAGAATGATTTTATCTTGATAAAATTTGCAGAATGATTTTATCTTGACAAAATTTCCCTCTGACTGCCAGAGGGGAAAAATTTCCTTTCCAAATGGCTCAGCCAAAGCAACACTGGGGAGATGGGGGAAGCTCTGCGGAGAGCAGCCTGATGTATGGTCTAACACCCAGGTCTGTGGGATTCTTGCCTGATTTAAGACTTCAGAAAAGTCTCAAGATTTGATTGTGACTGACCATTGGCTTACACTGAAAGAGTCCCTGCAGCATCTTGCCTTTCTAAAGGGCTTAATCTGAACAGCAGAGTCAGCAAGCCAAATATCTGATTTCTTAATGCAGGTACCAATCCCAGCGATTTCTATCAGAAGAAAACCTGGTGAGAATGGAGGGAAGCCCTCGGAGGATTTGGCCCCAGCCAGCATTGGGCTGACACTGAATGCCAGTCCCAAGAGGACCGGGGGACCCTCTGAAGCAGCAGGTAGCCGCTGGCCGTACCTTTTCGGAGCTGTTGCGGGAGGTGTCTGGTTTCACCAGGATGGATGGCGGGGCTGACGCAGGTGGCTTTGGAGCTGCCTCGCTCTTTGCTGGAGGGTCTTTGGCATCCAGGATCACCGAGCTGCACACAGAGGGGGTTCTGCTCTCCCCTCCTCGGACTACGAGCACCGGTGAAGCTTCATGGGAGAAGTTTGGCCTTGTTCCTGCCTCAGCCATACCAGCTCCGGGAGGGATGCTGGTATGGTCTAACACCCAGGTCTGTGGGATTCTTGCCTGATTTAAGACTTCAGAAAAGTCTCAAGATTTGATTGTGACTGACCATTGGCTTACACTGAAAGAGTCCCTGCAGCATCTTGCCTTTCTAAAGGGCTTAATCTGAACAGCAGAGTCAGCAAGCCAAATATCTGATTTCTTAATGCAGGTACCAATCCCAGCGATTTCTATCAGAAGAAAACCTGGTGAGAATGGAGGGAAGCCCTCGGAGGATTTGGCCCCAGCCAGCATTGGGCTGACCTGAATGCCAGTCCCAAGAGGGACGGGGGGACCTCTGAAGCAGCAGGTAGCCGCTGGCTGTACCTTTTCGGAGCTGTTGCGGGAGGTGTCTGGTTTCACCAGGATGGATGGCGGGGCTGACGCAGGTGGCTTTGGAGCTGCCTCGCTCTTTGCTGGAGGGTCTTTGGCATCCAGGATCACCGAGCTGCACACAGAGGGGGTTCTGCTCTCCCCTCCTCGGACTACGAGCACCGGTGAAGCTTCATGGGAGAAGTTTGGCCTTGTTCCTGCCTCAGCCATACCAGCTCCGGGAGGGATGCTGTGCGGCTGGGGGCTGACGTGCTGATAAAGCTGAAATGGCTGAGGTCGCAACGCCGCCGTCAGAGGACGCCTGAGGGAGCCGGCAACCTGCACGGGGGGCCCTGCCTGCCCCGGCCTCTGCACGGATACACGC